GGTTTGCCGTGAATTCGCCAACGTCGGCCCAACGTTCAACATCGGGTGAGAGTCGGCAAACCTTACCTGGGAAGTTTTATAATATAATTATTATTTAATCATTATTTTTCATTAAATATGTATATTTTTAATATTTTTTATTTGATGCTTTGTGTTATATTTTATTTTCTGTTATCAATAATTGGTGCTGTATGAGTATTGTTATTTAACCAAAATATATTCGTCGTTTGCTATAACATAATATACCTAACCTTATTAAGTTTTCGGACGCGATAGTAAATAAGTGGAATAAGTTTCAACAATTGATTTCTTCAAGTAGGTATCTAATTAAGATTTATTTATTCGATTGCATTTTTACTGAAGTGAAATATATCTTATATGGACAATGTATTATCAATGTATTATCTTTGTATTATCTTTTATGAATATTTCTTATAATATATCTTATATATTGTATATCTTATTGATTTTCTTTGTATTGCAGAGTATTTTATAATGTTTGAGAATGTGAGTAAAACAGCACCAGTTGAGAAAGGGATTCCTGTGGAGAACTGGTGGATGCGATTTTGGAAAAAGATTGGCAGTTCTTAATTGAGTATGCTGTATGTGCGAGGAACAGAATAGAGACTTGCGACGTAGGAAGAGATTTGTGTGGCCAACTTTAATCCTGAAAATACTATGTTCGCAAGAAGGGTTAGATCAATATTGAGTCGAAGATTAAAGTGGTCCGCTATATTGGTGAACTACAAATGTAATATATAAAGAAAACAATTCACTTTTAAAAAAAAAATACGAAAAAATTTTCAAAAATTTTTTGTGTAATTTTGGTGAGTTTTTAACTTTAAATCTTGTTTTTCAAACTGAGTGCATATTTTGATTTTTTCGAAATTTTTGTATAACAAAGTACTATCATTTTAACAACTTTTAAGCCCGGTCCGATCGTGGGCCTCCTATAATTACTATTTTTTTTCGATTTTTGAAAATTTGATAAATTTTGTTTTCTCTATTAATCATCATGAATACCAATTTTATTACTGTATATTATTTTTTTAGTTCATTTCAATCAATTTTGACACATTTTTATTATTAAAAGGCGTTAAAAATAATTAATTTATCATTACGATTATTTATAAACAATAGTAATAAAAGTATTTATTTACTTGCGTAATTT